TAAAAATCTAGGCTATTACTTTGTGATTTAAAACATTTAAAACATGTGACCGTTCTTTGGGGACATACATTTTCTTAATGGTTAATTAGCAAATAAGCCTTTGCATATGGGACATAAGGCTGGTATCATATTGCAGAAAATGTAAACTCAAAATTTTTGGCTTGGATGACTAAAATCAGATTCACAATTTCTTGATTTGTTCTCTTAATGCTGCTAATTAGTATTGGTGTTCTTTAATGCTTGACATTTCAAATAGAAACAATGTATAGTTGCAATTTCTCATGTCCTTAATTCCACTCTGAAAAGCTTATAGGACATAACAATAGAAAATGGAAAAATGATGTACTTCAAAGGGAAATCCAGAAGCAAATAGAGGTTTCTACATGCCAATCACTGAATTCTGTATTAAATTACTGCCATTTTAATTCAACTTACAGATTCTGGGACATCAGACTCTTCCAAATAATTTTTAAATCTGATTACTCCATATATTAGAAAAGTTAGGTCAATTTTGTGATAAATAATTGGCTTCCTTGATCATGTGTATTATTTGTAGGATTGCATATGCAACATAGAATATACAATTTAATTAATTTGTACAATAAAGATTCTAGTAGTCAAGATTATAATGAGTTCATTGACTAGCTTTTGAGCAAATGACATAGATAACACATTCAACCTTCCACTTCTTCCATAAGTAAACTAAAATTAATCTAAAAGCCATTCCATGCATGCGTGCATTGACTTTGAAAGGGGTCTAAAAGGTAAAGAACCTATTCAAGCTGCTGTCATTCTGCTGAAAAGCAGTGTGAGTGGGCCAGAATTCTAGAACTAGAACAGTTCTACTGAGTGGTGGCTATTGACAGAAGGGAAAGAAGTTAGTACATTTCTTAGGTAATAGGAATGTGTTGCCCAGTAACCAGGGAGTAATTGGAATAATCTTAAAATGCTTAGTATGCTAAGTCAGGGTCTTAAAAAAAAATGCATTGTGAATGAGACCATGGCTCTGTTCCTTTCTGCAATGTCAATCAACCATGTTGCTTTCTAACATTCCTGGAATTTGCTCTTAGTAAATTAAAGTGGCAGTAAGACAAAACCATTATCAGAATTACAGAACCAACAAAACAACTTGAGTTCTACAGAATTCTTTATTTTAGCTCTGCATTCATAATATGCAAAGTAACTGCTCCAGGCAAAATGTTGGCATAACTGCTACCTAGCAGAGGAATCCCAACCTGAAGATTCTCTGATGGGTGGAGGATGTTTAGAATATAGCAACATCCATTTACAGGCAGATAGATCAACAGAACCATGCCACTATTCCAACCAAAATCCACCATCACTTTGCCAGTGGAATTGATTAAAGTAGGGTGGGGACATGGTGGGGTCATGCATGGTACAAATGCATACTATCCAGAGCTTCTTCACCCCATGATACATCTATGATGAATATGAAACTTTACACCAAGTCAAGGCTGGTATATTTGCTGCCTCATTATCATTGAGAAGTGATAATCCTTAAGAGAAAACTTGTTTCTACCACCCACCATATTTGGAATTTATCAGTTAGATTAATAACTTGCCTTTCCTTCAGAAGCATAGAGTGATATACATAGCAGTCCCTTTCCAATTTTTCTCCCCAATAACCCTGGGAGGTAGGTTGTTGTTTTCTTCTTCCCTTGTGAATTTTATTCCTTTGAAGTTGTTGTTTCATGTGTTTTCTGATTGTTCCTTTTTTATTATGACAAAGGTGCCATCTACATACTGGATCCATACCTTTGGTTGTATGTGTGGGAGTGCTATACAATAGTTTCTAGACGCTGCATTATGGTCTCTGCCATAATATATAGCCAGAGTCAGAGCCTTTGACCATTTCTCATTGTTGGAGTCAGAGAAGCATTGCTATATGGCTATCCTTCACCCTCTAAACTAGTTTGGCATCCCAAGATGTTGTGAAGGAAAATGTTCTGTCACCAGGATTGATGCAAAATCTAACTGCTAATGCAGTTTATTTCTGTATATCAAATGGGAGGGCATGCACTATTTTGTTCCTGGCCATAGGACCTGATAGTTAAACTCTTCCTCTTGTAACATTTTAATCCTACATTAATTCTGTATTTTTATGGAAAAATGAAATAAATTCAGCATACTTCAGCTACATTAAAATAATAGCCTTTTTAAAAATGTACATTTATGTTCAATTGATTTGAATATAATGAATCATATTCAATTATTTCTAGAATTTATCTTTACATGTGCACTCCAATGATGCTCAAATGGACAATTTGGACTTGGGTAAGGGAGCAATAGAGTTGAGAAATTATTAAATTATTACATTTTAGAATTTCAAAAGAAAATAAGGTCATCATACATATTACTCAGGAACAATCTAGTACAGAACTATTATGCTTAAGGTCACTGAATGCTCAAAACTGAATTATGGACTATTTTTAAAAATCTAGTAACATGCTCAAATATATTAATACAAAACTTTATAATAAAAATAACATTATGAATTAAAGGTGCTATTGTCTGTTAATTCTTTTTAAAACTTAATTATGGTTGATTTAAATGGTTCTACTTTCAAGTAGATAAGTCTTTCAGCTTGAATATCCACAGATTTTCAGCATATCCATTTTTTCCTACTTAATATTTTTGGTGCATAGCTCCCTAAATAAACATCAGACTGTGCTAGTTTACCATTCAGGCAGTTGAACAGAAAAGCACATTCATGCTGATTTTCAATTAAAGTTAGATTATTCAGGCATAGAACCTGTTTTGCATACATATTATTTTATCAGAATTTGTCTATGTCAGCACTTTAACATTTCTTTAGAGTTTGTTTATCCTTGGAATGAAAATATTCCATTTAATAGGCTGTTACTCGGAAATCACTTCTAATGGAGTAGCGAATGAGGTGAGCAAAAGTGGACTTCATTCATGTTTGAAACTTGATTTGTTTCTAAGTACTCCCCTTATGTACTGTTAGAAAATCATGATCTTAACAGGGCATAATGCAGTGATACTCAGTGTTTCTAAGGAAGATTCTCTGGAAGTTGTTTGAGCTCCATGATGGAAGAAAGGCCGGGAGGGGTAAGATGAAGAAAGCAAAAAAATAATGAAATCCATTAAGATTCAAGATTTCAACTTTTACAAAATCACAAGTCACAAAATATCTTTTCCATCAAGCTTTTAACTATTAAAAGACTTTAATGATATGGATTTTAATAGATTTTAAGCTATGTTTGATATTTTGCCTTTTTTGTTGTTGTAAGCTATCTTGAGCATTTATATAAGCAGAAAAGCAGAATAAACTGTTAATAAAATAAACATACCTGCTTTATCAATGTATGAATACAGCAAGGGCACCTTATGATACTTCAGGGGTATCTTTCGGGGTGAAAATGATTGTACCTGCTAAATAAAATGTTCATTTAAAGAGCCATGTCCTTTATTGAAACTGGAATTAATTGAAGCTGGAATTCATATTGTAATTTGGGAAAGCTTTTCTTACCTTCTATTTCCACATTATACGCAGTGATGGGGCTGACAGTCTCTTCTGTGGTAATTTCCCACCTACCTGGACAGTGCAAATGCACTATGAACAGACATTGCTATAGTGTCTCTCATATCACAGAAATGGGTTAGAAGATAGCAGCTGGAAACCATAAAATCAAAACTAACTCTCCTCCCACTCCGCCCCCACCACTAATACAGGGGGAATGTATTAATGGAATGGGGGGGGTGACTTCTCAGCAAGTCAAAAGAGTTTTTACTAACATCTTGTTATCTCATCTCTCACTGTCTTTTCCTAATAGTGCTCCAAGACAAATACGAATCTCTAAGATCCAGAACTGCATTAATACACTTCTGTTTTATGGCGCTGAAAGGGATTTTGGCTTTCCCATGATTTACCTGTACAAATTTGATCTGCCTCAATATCAGGCAACACTATTGTCTTGTAAAAACAATTAATTGTAAGCAAGTTTTCTTAAAAGCAATGCCAACTATAGCCAATGAATCTTACCACCAGGCAAGTGCACGTAAGGTTACCAGACATCCAACCAAAGGATGACACACCCTTTTTGTCCTCATGTCCTCCCTCTGGCAGGCATAGCCTTAAAATCAAATATTCTCCAGCTTTTTCAGTATCTACAAGTTGTCTCTTCCTAAGCAGCAAGAGCAAACCACAAGTTAACAAGCTCAGCTCTGTGACTTTAGTTGATTAGTACCATTGGCTGGCTTGCCCTGGCACTGCTGCCTGAATTGACAAGAAATCAGTTACACAGCTGAAAGCTTTTGCCTCCTCTAGCACATTCCTACTATTGAAAAACCAATCATGATGGAAAAAGTAATTTCATATACATGTAGGCCTAAGCACTTTTTATTTTTTACAGTTTTTCACTAATTTTTGTTGCCGATGCAAAGGAAGTTAAAGAGTGGGTCGTCCTTTCCCCCATTTGTTCTCCTTTCTAATTGTCCATGTCCTCCTTTGCCTGTTCAGATATTTGGTAGCTCGAAGTGCACGTGGGTTGGTAATCATGCCTTGAAATCCTTCTGCAGACTTCCTAAATATTATGCGGGATTAAACTTCCTTGTGCTCAGTGGGGTTTGTACACGGGATGCCCAAAGCAAAGCTTAAGTCAACCATTTTAGAAACGTTCCACTGGGGGCCATAAGGCTTTATTCCCGAGGAGGTACGTATAGGATAGCGCGCTAAATCGAGGCAGGAGCTTTTTATCCTCTTTCTCACCCCCTTTCTTTAACCCTCTTCCTTTTCGGCAGCTTTTTCCAGGCTGGTGCCCTCTAGAAACTGCAAGGCGTATATTCTCCATGCTGCTCACCATTACGGGACAGGAAATTCGGCCCCTCAATTGGGCGAAGCCGCCACGCTGGGCGAGAAAGACTCGAGGCTTGTCCCGGAGACCATGTGCCCAGAGGGGGACGTGCCCTTTCCGCCCATCTTCCCCGCCCCTTCTCCGCCCTTCCTGGTCCCAGGACGTAACGCTCCCGGCGGCGAAGCGAGCGGCGGTGACCATAGCAACCCCGCCGTCGACCAGGCCCGCCTCTTGCCTTGCTTTGCCTGCGCAGAGGAGGGAGACGGGAACAGCCGAGAGGTGCCAGTCCCCCGGGGCAGGCCCTGCAGGCAAGGCGCCGGCATCCAGGCCGGGAACATGGGAGTCAGGATGGAGGAAAGTGGAGACCGCAGGAGGAGGCGGAGCTGCCCAGGTAGCACGGTGGGGCCAGCGGGGTTGAGATCTGCTCCCGGAGCGCCGGGGAGGAGGCGCCCGAGGAGTCTGGTCGCGCCTTCCTTTCTAGAGCTCCCCGCTGGCTGCGGCCGGAGCGAGGGCTGCCTCGCTGATCCGACGCGCTTGTTCTGTGGGTGGCTGGCGGCTCAGGGCCAGATCCCAGTATTCCGTGGGAGTGAACGCGTCTCTGTCCCCCCCCCCCGATGCAAACGCGGAGCTCCGCG